TGACAGTGATGGTGACAGGATAGTGACATTGACAGTGACAGGACAGTGATGGTGACAGTGACAGGACAGTGACAGTGACAGGACAGTGACAGTGATGGTGACAGTGATGGTGACAGGACAGTGACAGTGACAGGACAGTGATGGTGACAGTGGTAGGACAGTGGCAGTGACGGTGACAGGACAGTGACGGTGAAAGGACAGTGAAGGTGACAGTGACAGTGATGGTGACAGTGGCAGGACAGTGACACTGACAGGACAGTGACAGTGGCACTGACGGTGACAGTGACACTGACAGGACAGTGACGGTGAAAAGACAGTGAAGGTGACAGTGGCAGTGATGATGACAGTGACAAGACAGTGACAGGACAGTGACAGTGACAGTGACGGTGGCAGTGGCAGTGGGTCCCCTCTGTCACCAGTGGGTCCCCTCTGTCACCGGTGGGTCCCCTCTGTCACCGGTGGGTCCCCTCTGTCACCAGTGGCGGTGGGTCCCCTCTGTCACCAGTGGGTCCCCTCTGTCACCGGTGGCAGTGGGTCCCCTCTGTCACTGGTGGGTCCCCTCCGTCACCAGTGGGTCCCCTCTGTCACCTCACCGCCCCTCCGGAGCCGGGCCAGCCGAGCCCTCCGCCTCGGTGGCCGCGGGGCCGGCCCGGGCTGAGGTGACCCCCGGCCCTCTGCGCCCCAGGTGCTGCCCAGCCCCATGGTCAGCTCCAACGGGCCGGGCGAGGACAAACTGTTCCGGAGCCAGAGCGCCGACGTGGAGATGACCACCGAGAAGGAGAGGCTGAAGAAGATGCTCTCGGAGGGGTGAGGCTGCTCCGAGCTCTGACTCTCCCCTCGGGCGGGATTCGCTGCATGGCTTTGTCCCCCCAAATCACTCCGACCCCTTCTGCCCTTCTGATGCTCCGCAGCGATGCCCCGTGCCCAAACCCTCCACTGGATTCGTTCCCCTTTTCCCAGCAGGAAGCGATTCCAGCTGGGAAATCCGCTCGGGCAGGTGGGGAGAGGATGGGGCAGGGGCTGTGCCAGCCACCTCCGCATCTGGACTTGGTGACAGCAGGAGATGTTCGGCTTCTCCAGCTGGCCGGGGCTGTTTGTGTTAATCCCTGGTGATTCCAGCAAAGTCCCTGCTGCTTCCTCTCTTTGTCTCCTCAAAAGACTCCGGGGCGGATTCAGCCCCGTGGCTCGGGCCGAGCTCCCAGCTGAACGCTTGGAGCATTTTTAAATCAAAAGCAGAGAGTCCTTTGCTACCTTCTCCCGAGCCTGGCCTTTATTCGGAGCAGACTCTGCTCTAATGTGGGTTTTGGAAACGGATTCACAGTCCCACACAGCAGAGCCCCTCTAGAGTACCCGGATCTCC